AAAAAACTAAGCAATGGTACAATAGAACGGAAAAGAGGAAAAAAAAAAAAACAACAACGATAGGGGGTCCATTATTTTTCTCCCCCCCCCAAAAATGGACCCCCCCCGGTTTTATTATTTTTTGGTTTTTTTTCAATGCGGGGGCCTAGGGCCTGGGGTGCGCCCCCGGAATCCCGACCCCGACCTCCAGTACTCCCTCCCCCTCGCCCGCGGCGAGCCTTTTTCAACCGCAGCCCGACGGTCATGACCGCGGGCTTGCGGTCGACCGCATGGGCCGCAGTCATGCCCGCGGTGACCGTGGCCTACGAGGATACATAGGGCACGGGTTCGGGAAGTAGTTCGTCACATATGTGACTCGCAGGGGGTTCCAAAATTATGCGATCTCTTGATTGCATGTTTTGGCGGAGAAGGAGAGAGGGAGGGAGAGAACAAAGTGATGCATGAGGAACCAAGCGTATCAACAAACGATCCAGCCAGAGTCCATGTTAACGCCATCTTCAATTGCCATCGTCTCATGGTTCAAATGGTTCGTGCTGCTGGAATCATCGATGGTCGTCTAGGTGACACCATCATCGGCTGCGGGTTCTCCGTGTGCTCTGCACCCTTGTTATCGCTGCCCGTCGAATCAGAGCGTAGGTTGACGTCATCGTCGATGGCGTGATCTTCGCGAAGCTCACTGATCCGTGCCGTTTTTTTTTCCTGCTGATTAGATGGAGAGAGAGAAGGGGGGGGGGGAATAGTCACGTAATGGAGAGCTACCACCTAGTTGGAATGGGCCAGTAGAGGCGGTACATGGAAGGGATCCCACGGGGACGATGGGGAGGAAGTGGGGGTAGGTAGCGATTCATCCCTTCTACTGTCACCGGAAGCTCCTCATATCGGATAATCCGGTGGAAACGAGGGAAGCGATCTCCGCTATGAGGGAGGGAGGCGAGGTAGTCGTGATAGAAGGAGGAGAGGGTGCGGAGGAGCTGCTCGAAAGGATTCGTAGTGGCGACAGGCGGGGACTGTCCCCGTAGCTACGCAATAGACTTTTACCACGTTGCATTGCTCCCATGCAGCGCTGAACAACAGGATATGCCAGCAAAAGGTGGGGGCAGCGGGCTGAAGGGACGGGTGGGGGTAGACGGTTGCGAGCAAGCGGGTCGAGTAGAAGTCGCGGAAGAGGTAGGGAAGGAAGGGATGGGGGGGGAAGGTGACGGGGGTGCGGATCTGTTCGAGGGTGAGAAAATCAAGGGGACGACGGGTTAACATCCGAGGACGAAGGCCTATCGCCCGCATCGGTCCGTAGGCGAACTGGGGGTCGGGTGAAGGCGGAGGAGGAGGGGGATCGACTCCGTCTCCGTCGTGTGGTGCTTGAGCTGGCGGCTGCTGGGTCGCCATCTTCGAGCTTCGGCGGCTCCAAGTCCCTGGTCGGATCGTTACCGATGCACAAGCTGGCTCTACAAGCGAACTCCAGCTGGCGTTTCCCAGTGGCAATTTCTTCGCGCCTTCGCGCTGCCTCCAGATCTTCCGCCTCTGTGCTCGTGCGCGCCGCTTCCTCCGGCAAGGCTTCCCACTCAGATCTGGTTTCTTCTCCCTCCTCTTCTTCTTCTTCACTCAGCTCGCCCTTGCTATACTCGCTATGGCTTCCCTCCTCCGACGTTTCCTCGTCGTCGTCGTCGTCAATCACCACTTCCTCCGCCTTCGGATAAAAGGCGTGAGGGATGATGTTGTACGACTTCAAATACTCCTGCCGTGATGGTCGAGTATCTTCGTCCCTGGGCTCCTCTAAGCACGCAGTCCACTGAAGGTACGGATCCAATGATCGCTCGAGAATGTACGGAGAAGGGTTGTCGTTGCTTTGTGAATACATGTCGGGCAAGAGATCGTCCGCCAATTGTACGATCGGCGCAATGAGCTCCTGCGCAATCAACTGGCGGCGGCCCGACCGTACCGATCCGAAGAGAAAGTCGAGAAGATCGCCTTCGACGTTAGTCCTCCAAGCTTGGATGATCAGCAGCTCTAAATTTCCGATCCACGCAGGATGCTCACTGGTCTGGGTCCACGTCACATGTACTCTGGCCAAGCATAAAGACATCTCGTCAAAAGTTTCGCGCCACAATCGCCAATGCGCAGGGTTAATAAGCGGGACAGAGAGAGGTTCGAACGAGAAGGAAAGAGAAGGATGAAGATCGGATTGCCTGAAGGTGGAAAAAAAAAAGAGGGGAGACCGAAGATGGAGAGAGGAGCGAGGGGATCGGCATGGTTCATTGGGGACGTGGGAAGGGGACGAGGGTGGGGATCGCAACTGGCGTCTTGCGCGGCGAACGACGGATGTCGCCAAGATCCGGTGCAAAGGTCGGGAGGAGATTGTGTCTTGGTCGGGCGAGACCGTGCTGCCACACGTTGGAGACCTGCTCCGTCCACTCTCGCAGCGAAGCCAAGATCGCGGTATGCCACCGTGGGTTGACAGAGCTGATATCGCGGCTGAACGCCGCAACCGTGGTGACGTGGCTCGTTCCGGGAGCGGCTCGCCGATAAACTGCGATTACCTCTGCCAATACCACTGCGTGTGGAGTCCCTTCGATTCGCAGAAGAACTGCGCCAATCGCCGAAGATCCGTATTAAGCCGCAGATGACGAACTTGCCGAATTTTCGAGATATGGCCACGTGGCTACAACAGCTGTTCGTCAAGAGCCCGCTCCGTGATGAAACTCATGGCGAGGTCGGACAGGAAGACGAAGGGCCGGAGGGAGAGCGTGGAGAGAGAGTTAGATCGTCGTCGCTCTCCTCGCTTTCGGAAGAGGGAGAGGGAGGAAGATGAGAGGGAGGGAGAAGACGGAGGTAGGAGGTATGCCGGACGATGGGGATAGAGCTATGGCTGGCACTAGCCTCAGGCGCGATGCGCACTGTGTTGGCGTCGTTAGGACCGAGCTCGACTATGCGAAAGCAGCCAGAGAACTCGGGAGCGAGTTTGTGGTCGCGTGCACATTTACGTACCTGCACTAGGTCCCCTAATTTATATTGATGCTGGGGCCCAACTTTTCCATTCCGAGCCTCGTAGCTACGGACCTGCCTACCATGGGCCAGATCGGTCATCCTTTGTCTTTTTCGGGCTAGCTTCGGAACGGCCCGCTCCATTAATTCGGTGTACCTTTTGGCCTTGGCCTTGAGGGCTGTATGCGTGTCTCTATCCCCTACTTCGGCAATTTTCGAGTTACCCCGGTAGTGGACACAGGGGAGGCTATTAGTACGAAGCTGAAAGGGGGTAAACCCCTCGGATTCGTGAGGGGTGGCCCGGTGGATCCCGACGATCTGATATACGATCTCGGGCCACGGACGCGTGTCGTGTGCTGCTAAATTCCTGCGAAGGGCGGTTTTAATCATACGGTTGGCGTTTTCAGCCAACCCGTTCGACTGGGACATGTGGGGTGCCGTATGTCGGAGCGTGACGCCCCTTCGTGCGAGCAGTTCCTCTACTTCTCCCTTAAATTCGGACCCGTTGTCGATTAGAATTTATTCCGTATCTAGATGAGTATAGAGGAACCAATCGATGTACGTGGCTATTTTTGCGGCTTTGCGGGTCTTACAGGGATAGACCTCGATGTACTTGGAAAAAAATGGTCAATTAATACTAAAAGGATAGAATATTCATATCGGTTTGGGCCAGGTGGCACGTCGATATCTGTTGTGTCCATACTGACTCGTTGGAAAGGACGCTCCACTTTCGTTGGTACTATCGTGTTTGGTCCTCGTATTGGGGCGCAATCAGCGGCACAGACTAGACAGTTGGCGACAGTGTATCTGACATCATCTCGTATGTTGGACCAGAACCATCAGTTCTGGTCTATAGTTGCCTCTGTGACACGTATCGCGAAATGAGCGGCCTGTTCTTCGTGAGCAGATCGGATCCAATCATATCTCTGGAATGGATGGGGAACCGTCAACCACGAACCCGATCCGTCAGTTTTACGCTTCTCCAAATGACCGTTGATCCACCGATAGTCCCGAGATCTTTCCGTTGCCCTACGTTTGTCGTGTTTGGTGAGGTGTCCCATTGATAATCCCGCTAATTTCGCCAATAAAATTTTATCGATCCAAACCTCCGCTCGTCGGTATTTTTCGTCGTATTCAGGGTCGTCTGTTCGGGCAGCCTCGAATCGAATCTCTGTGGGGAGTTTGTTAGTTCTACACAGGGGGCACCTCCATTCCTTGCTACTCGTCCGATATCGAATGCAGGCCCCGTGTGCACGATTGACACACGTGGCACATTCTATCCAATCGACAAACTCGGTTTCGAAAGGATGACAGTCGACCCCATAAACCCGTGCAATACACATACAAAAATAGCAGAATTTTTCGAGGAGGGTGGCAAAGAAAGTTGAGGAAGTAAGAGGGGCAGAATTAGTAGGAGAGGAAGGGGTTGCAGAGACAGGTGGGGTAGTCATGATGACAGAGGAGGAGAGATGGGACCGAATTGCGGAGAGGGTAGAATCAGTCAGATTGATCCTCGTTTCACTTACTGTTTGGACAAGATCTCCACTTGGTCGTACCGAGGTCCAACCTCTTGTTCGGGTTCGTTCCACGGAATCACCTCCTCACTCTTCAGAACTTTCTCAGGCCGGTGCAATCGTGTCAGTCCGTCCGCATTCCCATGTCTCTCGTGCTTCTGATGACGAATGTCAAAGTCCATGCTCTGTAGCACAGTTGCCCAGCGCCCGATCATGCCAGAGTAATCCTTCGATTTCTTCATAGCCAACAGGGGCTCATCATCGGTTACCAAGGTGAACTTCCGCCCAAACAGGTAAGCGCGAAAGTGACTGATTCCCTAGAGAGCCGCATAGCATTCTCCCGTCGCAGCGGCGTAGTTGCGCTTGCAGGCGGGCACCGATTTGGACGCATACTCCACCACGCTTTCGAGTCCACTTGGTCCCACTTGGGCGAGGATAGCGGAAATTGCCTCAGGCTGCCAGTCGGTGATGAGAACAAAAGGCTTTTCGGGATCCGGTCTTATAAGGACCGGAGCCGAAATGAGAGCGGCCTTGACTTTCGAGAACGCTTGATCACACTCTGGCGTCCAGATCAACGGCTGATCTTTGCGCAGCAGATTCATGAGGGGGCCCGCGATCGCCGCGAATCCCTTGATAAATCTTCGGTAGTACGAGGCCAGGCCCAAAAAGGCGCGAACTTGCGTGATAGCCGTAGGCACCGGTGCATCTCTGACGGCTGCCACCTTCTGCGGCTCTGGTTGGAGCCCTTTGTCTGTTACCACGTGTCCTAGGAAGAAAATGGTGGTAAGAAAAAACTTACACTTCTCAATCGCCACCTTAAAACCCGCATCTCGTAACGCATGCAGAGCCCACTCGATGTGTTGTACGTGTCCCTCGTAGGAACTCGAGTACACCAGAATGTCGTCCATGTACACAATCACGCAATAGTTGATGCTGCTCTGCGCCAAACGAGTCTTTGAAAAGTCATATTCATGGCTCTCTGAAAGGTCGCGGGAGCGTTACAGATACCCATCGGACATCAGACCCACTGCCACGTACCCTCGAAAAGCACAAAGGCCATTTTCGGACGATCTTCTTCTCGGACAAGAAGATGATGGAACCCATGGCAGACATCAAACTTACTGAAAAATCGAGCACTCCCAATCGCATCCAACAACTCGTCAATCCGAGGGAGGGGGTACACATCCTTGATCGTGATATCATTCAATTTTCGATTATCAATACAAATGCGAATCCTTCCGACCTTTTTAGGCACGATTACTACAGGAAAGGACCATAGACCTATAGCGGGTTCGATCCATCCATTGACTTCGAACTCCTTAATCCGCTGAAAAGCGATCGCTCTTTGAGCTGGCGAGTATCGGTAAGGAGCGCAGCTAAATGGGGGATGTTCTCCCGTGAGGATGGCATGCTCGATCACATTAGTCAAGCCAATATCATTATCATGCACGCTCAGCACCTCTGCATAAACGTTCAAGACATCGATTAGTGATTTTCGAAGTTCCGTGAGGACGTGGTTTGGTAGGGTGATTGTTGATTCCCCAGGGGTCTTAAGGGGTATATCGATCCAATCAACCGGCCGCTCCTTTTTATCGTAAACACTGGAAAAGATAGAACTCCTGGTGCGAACAGAAAAAACAGTCGCAATCATCTGTGATTCGGCGGGACTGATCATTTCGGTTTGTTTAGTTTCGGCATCAGTTTCTAAATCAGCCGAAATCTGCTCCACAGTCAGTCCTGTTAGGTCCGTCATCTCTTGCATTAGATCAGGTACGTCATCTACCGGCGCTTCTGCCTTCTGTTTAATCAAAGCGATGGTCGCCGCCGTTGTTAGTAACGATCAGGGCAGGAAAACAGAAACGTCTAGATACTGTTCCGTTTGTTGATAACGTGTTCGTAAGGAAAGTGCTTCCTCGTAGAGGGTACGAGGGGGTTCCAAATCATCAGCCAGGTCAGACACTTGTAATATGGGTTCCCCGAGGAGGACTGAAGGACTGACCTGGGTTTTCGGAGGCGCAAGCGTGCTCTCTCCTAAATCCATGTGGAAGCTTCGGGCTGTGTCGGGGCACACTTGAAATTCTTCGGGAATTTCGTGTTCGAAAAGCTCGACCAGGTGCTTCCATTCATCCTCACTAGGCAGTTCTTCTTCGTATTCCTGCTCCCTGATTCCGTTGCCTATATCCGAAGAGGAATATTCCTCGGGATCAATGCCTCGAATCATCCCTATTTGAGCCGAGTTAGAAGTTCGTTTTATCGTTCGGGTGGAAATTCGCAAAGGAACAGTTTGAGGTTTTCCCTCAATTTGCGTGAGCACCAGTTGCTTGGAATCAAAATGCAAACGTGCGCCAACCGCCATCGCCCAAGGTAACCCTAATAACACAGAATAGGAACGCACATCTATCACGAGCGCGTTAACGAGGACGTGTACTCGCCCGACTTTCAAAGCCACATTCTCAATAACGCCCACGATATTTATTGCTTCCTCGTCGGCAGAGACATAATTGTCTTTGCCAGATTGAGGAAGAATGGATCCGAGTCGTCCCGTCTTCCTAACAGTATCGAATGAGATAGCTACTGCAGAAGACTCTATATCGATAAGGGTGTTAAACGGTTTGCCCCGAACTTCACAATCACATTCTGCACTTTTCCACAGTACCGGCCGAGCTCGTACGAAGTGATCTTTTTCTGCTAAAGAGATCGCTACTACACGTGCGGCTTCGGGTTCGCAGGCTTCAGGTTTGGGCGGTGCAACATCCTCTCTTTCCTCCTCCTTCTTCTTTAACATTCGTTGGATGC